AAATTCTAATAAAATCAGATATTAACACATTTTATAACATAATCTAACAAAAAAGAAATATTTTAACATATTAGTTAATTTATCGATAATATAATAATATAGGGTAATTGTTAGACGTTCGATATGAGTTTTTGATTTGCTTAAGCTTTTTTAGTACACCTGACACGCAGCACTCATAACTCAAAATGTTGTTGTTGCTCGCTTTTAGGCGGCCAAGCAGCGCAAGGTGGCAAAACAAAATCAAGACAAAAACAAAAAAAAAAAGTAAGTAAAAAGAACCAGGTTAACTTCTCTATTGTGGAACAGTAAATAATGGCTGGCACGTGCAGGAACCAAATATTTTCAAAAACTTTGTCTAGAAGAGAACGTTTGAAGTATGAAATGCATCAATATTTTAAAATAAAACTAGAACGAAATAAATTCGAGACAATTATGTGTGTAAAGAAGATAAAAGACTAAAACAAAATAGGAATGAAATGTATGAAGTGGCCTCGATATAAAATGGGCTAAGCGGAAAGCCCCAGTAACCGATGCTTCAATTTAAGTTAATTCAATTTCATATAAAGTCTAACTGAGATATGAGTAAATCTTATTAAAATCTTATTAAATCTTAAGCAGCTTGAAAAAGGTAAATTTGCAATCGCGGTTGTACAAGATCATATATTACAGCGATCATATATTCCACCAATAACAGATAAAGGTTTTCCTAACACTCCCCTCCAGCCAACGCTTGGCTGATTCAGGCCACGCCCCGTTGGAAGCTGCCTTGCTTCGCTCTGCGCTGCTTTATTGCCGCCCAAGCAATGTTTATTGACTTTTGAAATACTACGTTTAGGCTGAAACTGTTTCGGCATCTAATTTGCAATTTAGGAGATGCCTAGCTTCGGTTGAGCACGCTTATCAGTTGAGCCCAGGTCTCTTGCATCATACGGTATTTTGTGACGATCTTCAAGTGCTGCACGCTTGGCTGCTGCAATTGTGGCGGATTACCAGAGCAACGGCTGCCCAAAGAGTTAATTACAGGCCTCATTAGGCGGCATCTCATGGGCGATGGAGTCGATGGCTTACACTACATTTCATTGGGGCTCAACTGGCAGCAGTTGGGCACAGTTCAACTCCAGACATCAGCGCGCTTAGTTGCTGAAAATGTCCACACGGGTAGGTGGCAGCTCAGCTTCCTTTATTACAAGTTCTTCTCCTCTAAGGGCTCTTCAACAGATTCTTCTTCTCATTTTTTTCTTGCTGGCTGCCTGTTTGGCGGACATGCAGCGGGATGCGAACGAGGATTATCAGGAGCAGCCAGAGCATATTGATGGGCGCTCGTTCTTCTTCCTGGGCACCTTATTTCGACGCTGGCGCGATCGTTGGTTGGCCTTTCACGGCTCTGCACCGCTCTATGCCGGCGCTGCTTTCCCTCTCAATGGCTACTTCAATTGCCCGTCGTACGGCTGTAATCCTGCAGCCATTGGACCACAGCCAGGTGGCTTCTATCCGACCTACTATGCCTCGCCGATCCCGCTGCAGCCCCAACAGCAGCAGCAGCAGCAGCAGCAGCAACAACAACAGCAACAGGCGCAGGGCAATAGCAATGTCTACATATATCAGACTGATCAGAACATGGCTAGCTCAGTGTCCCATCCGCCGTATGGGCCCGGTTTCTTCGGGCCAGCCCGGCAGCCCACACCACTGACACCACCGCCGCCTCGACCGTTGCCTCTGCCGCCACCAGCACCGCTGCCGCAGCTGCCACCGGCCATGCCTCCGCCTCAAGGGAGTGCTAGCAGCTTTGGATTTGGACCTGGACCTGGCCCTGGAACCGTTCCGCTGCCAGCCTGCGGACCCAACTCGTTGTCCTGTGCTTTCGGCTAAGCAGCCTCGCCTAAGTAAACAACGCAGACAAAGTAAAAGAAAACAATACAATTTTAATTGAAAAGTGTGCAACCAAAAAAGCAAAGCAAAAATTCACAAGAAACAGAATTCTCACATCAAAGTAAACGAAGTTCCGTTACTCTCTATTTTGCAATATTTTGCAATATAAAAGAGGTCTTTCGAAATAATTAAAGCAATAACAATAAAATAATAGTTGGTATTTGTTACTGAATTCTTAATTTAACTCTCAAAGAATTAACTTAAAGTTCACGAAGAACTCAACAAATTGAAGCCAAGAGTTCTCCATGTCACATTTGGTATGACTGAACGGCAATAACCCAAGTGGTAAGTCATTAAAAAGGGTTACATGTAAAAATGTGAACAGAAATGAGTGCAGAGCTGTGGGAAGGGCACACTTACACACATACACAACCTCACCTACTTATGTACGTGTACATAGGACACACAAGCACACAAGCAGCCAAACATACATGGACATTTATCCATTAACGCCGAAAAACTCCAAACCAATCTGCATAAACAAACTCATCAGGAGCAAACGAAATGATGGCATTTGTTTTGATTCCATCATAAACCATAAGATAGCTCCAGACATGGCTGATGCTGATGCTGTTGCTGTTGCTGATGCCGATGCTGAAGCCAATGCCGATGCCAATGCCAATGCCAATGCAGACCCTGGGCTGCTGAATGCTGATGAAGTGGTTGAAGCTGCCCAAGGAGCAGACGTGAACCCAACGCGCTGCTGAATTGTTTGGCAAATAAATGCCTGGAAGCGCATAATGGATGGATGGAAGGATGGATGGTTGGCTCGCCTGGCTCCGGTCAGCTTGTAGCCCAGTCCGGCTCTGTTATTATTTTTATATAACTTGTGAAAATAATAATAGAGCTTGCCGGACCAGGCGGGGCGTGGCCGACCAAACAAATACGTCAGCAAGCGACAGTTGTATAAACACAAGTGTGAAAGTGCAGATAGTAACGGCTGATGGGCAATGAGCAATGGGATCCGAATGGACCACCGCGTCCATATCCATATCCAGCCGAAGTGTCTTCAGCTCTCTCTTGTTTCAGATCCCCATATGAAATTGTCCGCGTGTTTATTTTTGTTTGTGCTATGACAAAAAAAACGCACGAAACTGGAACGAGGCAGGTGTTGTTGTTGCTTTCCTTTGGGCAACTTTCACTGACCGGAAACGGAAATTAAATGCATAAGTTTGTTCAAGTTGCCGAGTCAGCGACGTCTACTTCTTATCAAGTTTCAAGCAGTTGACGGAAGATTGGATATCAATGTGATAAAAAAATTCATTGCGAATGATAGTTTAAAATTTGAAAACTGGCTAATTAATATTAATAAAAAAAAAGATTTGTTTGCCCTTTCTTTTCCCTTAATTGAAGATAAGTAATATTGTTTAAAAAATTTGTTTAAAAAGATTGCATAAAGCGCTTTAGCTTTGCTCAGCACAAATTCAACAAATCGCAAGCTGTCTGAGAAAATGCTCAGCTGTTCCCTATATCCCCAACGGGGATGTAGCTCAGATGGTAGAGCGCTCGCTTAGCATGTGAGAGGTACGGGGATCGATGCCCCGCATCTCCAAATTTCAGTAACTTTTTATTTTTTTCTATTTTATTTTTATACT